TGCGCCAATATTAATTGAGAGGTCCTTGGATGCTGCTTCGATGTTGGGTGTGTTCAGTGGAGCTGGTCGATTCAATAGTTCCTGAAAGTGCTCTACCCACCTATTTCGCTGTTGTTCAGTGTTGCTGATTACTTTGCCTTCCTTGCTTTTCACTGGTCGTTCTGGTTTACGATAGTTTCCGGCGAGCTTCTTTGTAGTTTCGTACAATTGTCTCAAGTTTCCGTCTCTTGCAGCTTTTTCCGCCGTATTGTGATATATTACCTATGGATTATCTAGGTTGTTGGACGAATTGGATTTCGCAGCGGATTATTAAACTGTTGGGGTGGTTAGATCCCCGCTTGATAAAAAATGCCTTATTTTCGTCTTCACGTTTGCGCGAGCATGGGCTGGATCAGTTGACCTTGAGATTTCATTTCTCACCAGGAAAATCCATGGCTGTGTGATTGGCTGCTGCTGTATATTTTATTAGTGTGCTATTTTCTTAACTGTCTCAAGGACGTGTCTCTATGATGTATAAATAAACGAGAGTTGTATGCTTGCCTGATTGTATTGTGTGATTGCTGGGTGTTTGTAGAATATACTTTCTACGCTATACATCAAGACTTCTGTTTTACAGCTTGGGATTCAAGGTAGCCTATCTGGACGCTGGTTTATTGTCTCGTTCGCGTTGATCGACTAAGGTGAACTCGTAATAGCTTCAAGCATACTTAGTGACGAATCCAATATAAACACACAACAATCAATATAGAAGAAGATGGCCAGTGTAGTAGCAGTAGGGTGTTAATATACACAAAGGAAGAAGGAACAACATCCTTCAATGCGACACAGCATGCACCAACCAAATGACACTTGACAGAGAAGCTTTAGAGGATGTAGAAAACTTTACTGAACATGGCAGCATCAGTGATAAACAAGGTATGTGTAAAACAGATGTAAAGATACGGATCCGTAAAGGACACAGTATTTCTATAATTGAAGAACATCTGGAACTCAAAACAACTGTCTGTCAGCTAACACCAAAATCACTCGACCGTAGCTGTTATACCATGACGTGATGGTCATGCTTGCCTATTGTGACGGCCCAACCGAGCTATATTGGCTGTAGGTTCTACGATGCCATGAAGGTCGATTGGGGAACGATAAGAAACCCATGAAGTCACTGAAAAGTGGACTGAGTCATGTTGGTAGATGTAGAACACCTCGTTGGTAGCGGAAAGCACTCAGCTACCTCACAAGACAAACCCTCACTTGGAACCCTCAAGTAAGGAGGAAAAGAGGAAGGCCAAGAAACATTATACGCCGAGAAATAGAGAAAGATATGAGAAGGATGAATAAAAATTGGACAGAACTGGAAAGGGAAGCCCAGGACAGAGTTGGTTGGAGAATATTGGTCAGCGGACCATGCTCCATTGGGAAGTAACAGGCGTAAGCAAGTAAGATAAGTACAGAGTGTACAGGTGTATGAAAAAATAAGCGGATGCATGGATATTACTGTGACTGAGGGCGAAGTCGTACTGCTGACTGACTTTAGAGGGGTGTGACAGCAGTAAGGTGTTTCCCTCGGACAACCAGCATCTGCAGCGATGCTGCCTTCACACAAGGAAGGAAGAATTAGAAAAGGTCGACCTTAAAAATGTTACACCTCACCCTACCTTACGGATTTCCGTCTCCGAAGGTAAGGGTGCCCACTAAGGGCTTTCAAGAGAGGAGCTAATACCCAAAATACCTTTCATAAAAAGGCCGTGCATGACCGGCCTCAAGCAGTTGTATCTTGGGCTCTGCGGTCACGCACCCAGGTCTCTAAGACCAACACTAATCTATTTTCCTTTTCAGGTTCCTCAAGAAACAACCTTCCACGGTGTGGGCAGCCGGGAAGTTATAACCGCCTTCATACCCACAACTATGACTGATTTAAAAGTCATCAATATCTAATCACATTCAATGTACAAATATCAATCAGATACTTTGAAACCAACAATTTCACACAAATCACAACCAAACTATAGAATAAAATAGAACAAAATCAATCAACTTACCGATTGTATTATATTGAATATAATAATAAGCTGAAATCATGCCAAGATTTAATGGTGCTAGATCAATACTATCTTCAATTGAAATACATTTCGATGTTTCCAAATCATTTAATGTTGTCTCAACTAATTCACTTAAATGATCACTTAAATGTCGATGTGTTACACCCTAATCAAAATAATAATAATAATAATAATAATAATATTAGAAACATTGAAATTTAAGAAAAATTCTGAAAACATAGTGAAATTATCTGAAAGCTGTGGCGTTATATAGATGGAGATAACCCGTAGATTATTACACATTTTTTAAGCGTGCACAGTGTGCTTGATGACGGATGATGTCGAAGATCTGAACATAATAAGTGCTAAGACCCTAAACTGACTACTTGAGCAAGAGGGCAAGAATGGAAGAGGAAGTATATTTGGCTATGCATATGCATAATACCCATGTACATTCCTTCCACCATAGAAAATGAATTCAGTTCTTGACCAGTCAATGATATGCATTTGTCCTTTAGGATATTTCTGATAGTGATCAATCGACTTTCGCTTTCGATTACTTCTGATTGGTTCTTTGTGTAACACAACAAACTGAAATTCAATTGTAAAATAATATAGACTTATGGAAATCATACTCTGAGGTACTGAAAAATATGGAATTTTAATAATCCAAACACAGTTGAGCAGTATCAATAGTTTCTGGATAATATTGATAACTAGTATAAACTAAGCCTTAGAATCTGAATGTAATCAGTTAGTTCGTTGAACAAAATAAGAAATTCGCTTAAAGTTGACTGTACTACAGTAGAATGACATTTCGAGGAAACGAAAAATAGTCCATCTTTATTGAATACTAACTAGTTTTGGGGTGATTCATTCCAAAATGTCTACTATCAAATCACATTATCTTTTCCTAACATGGATATAATGAGAAAAGATGGGATCGACAAAGTGAAGTCAGTCAATCAGTGTCAGTTGCAACGTAGAACTTCGTACGTAAGTACATCAGTTCATGTCACCATACCACATCAGCACAGAGACGCTAACGTCAAATCAAATCCAATAGTAGAAGTGGTGTATTAAAGGTATTAGAAGTAATCGGAGAGGTTATGTGATTAGAAGATATTATTCAAGAAGTATGATTAAATGAGAAAAGTTTAGAAACTCAAAACTATAGGGGTTGAAGAATCCAGAAGATTAGGATTTGAGAGAACACAAAGAATAAATGCACAGGCGCCACTGCGAACGATTTTGAGCCATGTCATTCATGGTGTCTAACCATCGATTATTATCATCTCGCGGACCCCAACCAGGTAGTCGACAATTACCGACATGGCCAAGTCCACTCGTCAATGACTTCATGGATTTCTGCCATGTTTTGGTTTGGTCGCCCCTAGCTTTCTCCCAACCTACTACTACACTACAAAACAAAGCTCGACGAGGCAGTCGGTGGTTAGGCATACGTAACACATGTCTCAACCACCTCAAATGATGAAGTTTCAGTACTTCATCTATTGATCTGCCATTCTTACCTAGCACCCGATTCCTAATAACAGCGTTGCTCACTCGGGTGTCCCAGGATATACGAACAATGCTTCGAAGACACCTATGATCGAAAACCAATAACCAACGAATATCTTCTACTCTCACTGGCCATGTTTCACAGCTATAAAGTAAGACGAAGCGAACCACTGCACAGTACACTCGTCCTTTAGTCAGCAAACGGTTATCTCGCCTACGACTAAGTGAAGTGGCTGTAACACTATGACAGATAATCTTGCTATTTATTCCTTGAGTTCCGTTTATATAAAATACAAAGAGAAGTCAGTTTACAGTTAGGCCACATGTACAAATTGGTTACATATGCATTTAGTAGTTACAAACAACTACTTTACAGTACCACTGGTACAAATTTTCCAAGTAAACAGTTTAGGCGTTTCAACTTTCAGCTTCCTTATAGTCTAGTGATTTAAAAACAATCTATCAATAAGATAGTTGTTAATTGCCAACGAATCATAACAATAACACTCATTAATCAAATAGAGATTTGTGTACTGAGCCACAGAAAGAAGGTATAGGCTGGAAGAAAGCTAGGGGCGGTCAAACTAAAACATGGCACGAACCCATAAAGTCACTGACAACTGAACTGAGCCATATTGATAAGTGTAGACGACCTGGATAGGTGTCCGTGACACAACAGCAACCGATGGTTAGAAACTTCGAATGACATGGCTCAAAGACGTTTTCGATGGCGCAGGGGCATTTACTCTTTGTATTCTATCAAATCGTAATCTTCTGAATTCCTCATCACCTTTTTTTCTCTTCCACTCTCTTTCTTTGTTTTAAAATTTATTTTTCTGGGATCTACACCTTCGATCCCTTATCTTTTTGATTACGGCTAATACTTCTATTACCCCTACGACTATGGGATTTGAATCAACAATTCGATCTCTCTGTGCTAATGTAGTACGGCGAATTGAACTTGTGTACGTACAAAGTTCTACGTTCTAACTGACTGAGACCACTATTAGAAAAATGAAAGCACTAGACGACCATTTCATCCTGGTATGGAACTTATCAACAGTGGGTGTAGGAAGGATTTAATTTTGACCAATTTGATCTCGCGTGCTGTTACGGGTATGAGGGCGGTTGTCACTTCCCGGCTGCCCACCTCGTGGAAGGTTGTTTCTCGAGAGACCTCAAAAGGAAGATAGATTAGTGTTGGTCTTAGAGACCTGAGAGCGCGACCGCAGAGTCCAAGGGACAACTGCTTGAGGCCTGTCACGCACAGCCTTTTTATGAAAGGTTTTTTGAGGATTAACTCCGTTCTTAAAGGCCCCTAGTGGGCACACTTACCACCGGAGACGGAAATCCATGAGGTAGGGTGAGGTGTGACATTTTTAGGGTCGACCTTTTCTAAATCCTTCCTTCCTTGTGAGAAGGCAGCATCGCGCTGCAGATGCCGGTTGTCCGAGGTAAACACCTTACTGCTGTCACACCCCTCCATCACAGTCAGCTGTACGACTTCGCCTTCAGACCTTGGAGTAGCTGCTTTTAGTCTTACTGTTCTCCTGCCTGGCATGGTAGGACCTTCAGGAACATATGTTCCAGCCAGTATATAGCTCGGTTGGGTCATCACGATAGGCAAGCCCGACCACCACGTCAAGGTAGCAGCTACGGTGTAATACTTTTACTACCTCTTCTACTATTGGATTTGAATTGACAATTATATCTCTGTGTGCTGATGTGGTATAGCAACATGAACTGATGTACTTACACATACGAAGTCCTACGTTGACTGACTGACTGACAGACTTATCAACAGTGCTGATTCCCAACCCCGTCTCCTCACCATAAACCAGTGGTGCTACTACCACCAAGGTTTCCAACATTGATCAATAATAATACACCATTTTAAAAAATAATTTCAAAAGTAAAATTATATATATATATATATATAGCGCACTACTAACCTGTAAATTATAATAATTCGGATTTTGTGTCATACGTTGATATAGAAATGTCCATGTTAAATAATCTACAGCATCTTGTTTATTTTCAATAGTTTTTGTAACAATCTCTGCATTGAAATGATCATGCAATGCATGATCTAAATGTGATTCCACCGGTAATGGATCATGTAAGAATTTTTTCAAAAATTCTTTTTTCCCTGTTTGACATAACACCACTACTTTAGCATCATTATCAATCGTTGGACGATTTGCATGTCCGAGCATTTCAATTAAATCAACAATTGGATTGTGGATTGCCAACCTGCGTCACTTATGGTGTAGGCCAAATATCCGTCTGCTAACGAAAGGACGAGTGCACTGCGTAGCAGTTCGCTCCGTCTTACTTTATAGCTGTGAAACATGGCTAGTGAGAGTAGAAGATACTCGTCGATTATTGGTTCTCGATCATAGATGTCTTCGAAGCATTGCTCGTATATCCTGGGACACCCGAGTGAGCAACGCTGTTATTAGGAATCGGGTGCTAGGTAAGAATGGTAGATCAATAGATGAAGTAGCGAAACTTCATCAGTTGAGGTGGTTGGGACATATGTTACGTATGCCCAACCACCGACTGCCTCGTCGAGCTTTGTTTTGTAGTGTAGGAATAGATTGGAAGAAAGTTAGGGGCGGCCAAACCAAAATATGGAACAAATTCATGAAGTCATTGACAAGTGGACTTAGCCATGTCGGTAATTGTCGAATACCTGGTTGGGGTCCGTGAGATGATCATAATCGATGGTTAGAGACCCTGAATGAGATGGCTCAAAATCGTTCGCCATGGCGCCGGTGCATTTATGCTTTGTGTTCTCTCAAATCCCAATCTTCTGGATTCTTCAGCACCTCTAGTTATGACTTTCTAAACTTGTCTCACTGAATTATACTTCTTGAATAGTATCTTCTCATCCTAACCTCTCCGATTACTTCTAAAACCCTTACTAACTCTTCTTCTATTGGATTTAAATTGACAATTACATCTGTGTGCTGATGTGGTATGGCAACATGAACTGATCTACTTACATACGAAGTTCTACGTTGACTGACTGACTGACTGACTTATCAACAATGCTGATTCACAACCCCTTCTCCTCACCATAAACCAGTGGGGCTACTACTACCACCACCAAGGTTTCCAACACAACTATCTAAACATTGATCAATAATACCACCATTTTAAAAAAATAATTTCAAAAGTAAAATTATATATATATATATATATATAGCGCACTACTAACCTGTAAATTATAATAATTTGGATTTTGTGTCATACGTTGATATAAAAATGTCCATGTTAAATAATCTACAGCATCTTGTTTATTTTCAATAGTTTTTGTAACAATCTCTGCATTGAAATGATCATGCAATGCATGATCTAAATGTGATTCCACTGGTAATGGATCATGTAAGAATTTTTTCAAAAATTCTTTTTTCCCAGTTTGACATAATACCACTACTTTAGCATCATTATCAATCGTTGGACGATTTGCATGTCCGAGCATTTCAATTAAATCAACAATTGGATAATCTTCGTAGGCATGTATTTTACCATTATAATCTTGTGTATCCATTATAGTGACAAGATAAGCTGACAGCGGGTTCGGTGAAGCTGCAGCCCATATCAAAGCACGTGATACAATGAGAGTATGTAATGCACCTGCAGCAAATAGTACTTCAATTAATCGACGATCCGGTTTAGAGATGGCTTCATGTAAATAGGCGACACCGCCACCATGACGAATAACTTCAGCTAATGTTTTATCGGCTAATTGATCAGCAGCACGTGATAACGCTTCTTCTAAATGACCAGAGATTGCTTGAAATTTTGATGAGGTTGTATTATTATTATTATTATTGATAGCGAACATGGTGATTAAATCGAGAGCGGTTTTTTGTGCTTGACGTCTAGTTGGCACATAAACTAAAGTTGGTTTACGTTGTGAATGTTGTAAACTACCAACTGGACTGGGTGTAAATGCAAGTCGTGTAATCAGTTGATAAACAGGTTTAGTCATTGCTAACAAACGTGATGCTTGATGTGGAATATTAAATGGCATAATAGTTAATTCTAATGGAATAGGTCTTGTAGTCGGTGGAAAATTGTAGGTTGCTCCAGATGTACAACCAAGCCAACTGGCTATATCACGACCATTGGTAAGACTATGCGATAAACCGATGATACGAATTGGATTATCCACCTGACTACTGATGTAACGCATTCTTGAACAGACTACTTCCAGGACGGAACCACCTTCAGAACCAACTAAATGTAAATTGTCTGCAATGAATAAATTGACATTTTGTACATTTTTACGTTGTTTCCATCTTCTCGATAATACATCCCAATGTTCTGGTGTAGTAACTATAATCTAAAAATTACAAAGGGAAAAAAAACTCTATTGAGGGCAATCTGTAGAAAACAATCCAAGGGTAGCTAATTTAAAACATTATAGACTGAATAGATTTATGATTTCAGTGAGAAACAACAATCTCCATAACTCTATAATGAGAAATCCTAACATGTACTCACTAGTGACTAACTTCGTGAGGAAATTATCGGAGTTCTAATGCGATGTGACTAGTGGAGCTCAACCCTGTCGGGCATACGTAAGAACTACCGAAGACAATGACTGAGGTTGGACAAAATCAATAGATTGATCAGAATTAGACAATAACACCGTTGGATGCTGGCCCAGTTGTCTAGACGTTAGGCGTCCGCGCGCAAGACCAAAGCTCCTGGATCGGGATCCTCCGAGTAGCAAGAATCGTGGATGCGCACGGCTTTCCGTTGCTTCCAGTTTTTCTGATGACTGATTCATGATTTCAGTTAAGATATCAGTGACTGATGGGACTTGATCAATAATAAATGGTTTAGGGTTTTACTGAACATTACAATCAACAATAGGCGTATATCAAACGGTTGAATGTGCATACAGAAAGCGCGATTTGCTTTTGCTAACCTGCGTCACTTATGGCGTAGGCGAGATATCCGTTCGCTAACTAAAGGACGAGTGTACTGTGCAGCAGTACAGCTCCGTTCTCCAATATGGCTGTGAAACATGGCCGCTAAGAGTAGATGTTCGTAGGTTACTAGTATTCGATCATAGATGTTTAAGAAGCATTGCTCGTATATTGTGGGACAACTCAGTAAGCAATGCTGTCGTTAGGAAACGAGTACTAGGTAACGATGGCAGATCAATAGATGAAGTGGTGAAACCTCATCAGTTGAGGTGGTTGGGATGTGTTACGTATGCCCGACCACCGACTGTCTCGACGAGCTATGTTTTGTGGTGTAAGAGTAGGTTGGAAGAAAGCTAGTGGCGGCCAGACCAAAACATGCCACAAATCCATGAAGTCACTGACAAGTGGACTGAGTCATGTTGGTAGATGTAGACTACCTGGTTGGAGTCCGCGAGACGATAGTCACCGGTGGTTAGAGACCTTGAACGACATGTCTCAAAATCGTTTGCAATGGCTCAAGTGTATCCATTCATTGTGCTCTCAAATTGCTCATTGCTCTCTCAAATCCTAATCTTCTGGATTCGTCAGCACCTCTACCTTTGTCTTTGTAACCTTATCTCACTGAATTATACTTCTTGAATAATATCTTCAAACCCTAGTCTTCGTCATTACCATTAATACCTACCTCTACTATCTTTATCACTATGGGATTTGATTTGACATTTGCGTCTCTGTGTTAATGTGGTGTGGCAACCTGAACTTATGTACATACGTACCAGGTTCTACGTAGCAACTGACTGGTTGAATGTGCTGAATTACAATGTGATGGATTCTAATATTGGCTAACATTCAAAACGCTTTTACTGGGATGTCAACAAACACAGCATATACAAGAATATAATCTTTTTTTTATCAAAAAAAAATAACTTACATTTCCACGAGCTAATAATTTCAAATCTACCGAAGTTTCTCCAGTCAAACGTACAACACGTTTACCTAATTTCTCACCAAATCGACTTGCCCAATCGATATAACGTTGTTCCACTTGTTCTTCATGTGGTGGCAACACGTAAATACAACGGAAATTAGCTATTGTACTAGAAGAATCTGTTTGATTTGTTGTATTACTACTACTACTCATACTCTGATGTGTTGTTATAAGACGAAATATTGCCAATTCAGCACAAACTGTTTTACCGCTTCCAGTTGGAGCTGCTATAAGGACATTTTCATCGGAATTATATAATGAATTGAAAACCTACATGGAAAAACAGTAAAAATCATTTGAAAAAAAGAGTGAATCACATGAGTAAATTAGAAAGATAACTGCTGTAGAGTGATGCATTAAAGAATGAGTATTCGCACCATACATCCGGACCGAACATTCTTTGATTGAGTAGTACGTTCTAGGTTACACTCCACCGGATACTGCTCATAAGTTCGTAGAATCTAATTCCAAACCAATAGTATACATAGGCTCCACCATGAAGAGGGAAAAATGGTTTATGAACCTAATATCCGCTATGATGAGGATGCATTTCCTAACGTCGAGCTACTAACTTGTGGATAATATCGTCAAAAATCAAAGGCTGGTGGAGTGCACTGTCAGTTATTTTCATAACTAATTGTAGTTATGCCATAACTAACCAATCAAATTGTGGTTTAAGCTCCCATCACGTGATCTGATCTGACATGTCTGTAAACTTTCCTTTGTTGTAAATGACCTAATAATTGAAGGACACTATTATCTTATTATATTGATGTGACTTATAACTTCCTTCATTTTCCATAAGACATGCTATTTTGGTCGAAACAGATAAAGTTTAAAGTAAAAGTTGATCTTTTTCTAACTGTAGCTTTTCCATAGACTCTGTGTTTGCCAATATTGCGTTTACCGTTCTAGAATTACATTTGTAGGACAAATTAAATCCTACATGCATTCTACATAAAACTACATGTTTCGGCTTCAGCACCCACGCAGAATCTCAACCCATACACAAATCCAATTATTCATGTGGTACATAAATAATTTGGCACCCTCTTTACATCAATGTTTTTAAGTAAATAACCGATCAATGATACACTGGGAATAAAACCAATGTTATAAAATACTACAATGAGTTGGAAAAAAAGGTGAACTCTAACCTATTATCCCGACTTAGCATTCACTGAAAACTGTGATTAATTAAAACTAACTACATTTCGATCATAGAGGTCAAACGTGAAGAAATTCGAATGCTTCACTTCTATCTGAAGTTTATGCTGATGATGTTCATTGTTCAGAAGAAGAACAATGAAAGCTCCACAACCAAAACACCCAGCTCAGAGAACCAAACACCACCACCACAATACATGTTAGGATTCAGATAATAAGGCGTTACATAATTATCAACCTATTGAAAGTAACTATTAACGTATAACTTGGTGCAAATACGAATCCCTAATATCTGGACAATAGGTTGATATCAACAAAGTGAACATTGTAAAAACTGAGACAATAATCATATCAGTAAAATAGTAAGATGACAATTTAAGTTCGACAAGGAGTGAATTCATAGACTAAAAGATATAGAATAATACTAGAGCTCAAAATCAAAAAGGGCATATAAACAGTGGATTCATGTACTTCACAGATCGATTTTGAACTACTTTAGTAATAGCTGGACACAATTATTGTTCAAAAACGCAACATCTACCAAAACGGCTCAGACCAACAGTCAGTGACTGCATATCTTAGTCTAGTCATCATTAGCTTCCTTTCAAACTACCTCACTAGGTTGGAAGAAAGCAAAGAACGGCTTGGTCAAAACATGACACAAATCCATCAAGTCACTGACAGGTGTACTGAGCCATGTTGGTAGGTGTAGAATACCTGGTTGGGGTCCGTGAGACTAAACTACACCGATGGTTAGAGACCTTGAAAGACATGGCTCAGAATTGTTTGCAGTGGGGCAGGTGCATTCATTCATTGTGTTCTCCCAAAATTCTAACCTTCCGAATTGTTCGTCACCTCTATCTCTCTCCTTCTAAAGTTATGTCACTGAATTATATTTCTGGAATAATATCTTTGAACCCTAATCTTCTCCATTACCGCTAATACTTCTACTATTTCTACCACTATAGGATTCGAACTGACAATTGCGTCTCTGTGCTAATAATGTGGTATGGCAACATGAACTTATGTACATACGTACAAAATTCTGATTTGTAGCTGGACTGACTGACCTCACTCATCTAACACTGTACATCTAAATAGACAACAGATTCTAGATACTTCAACTGATGCAAATTTTATACCTTTTACACTTAAAGATAGTCTTAGTATTATTTCTGTAGCTGTTCCATGGAATGATAAAATAGCTTCAAGAACATACGTCCTCTAATTACAAAGACAGCATTCCTTAGATATATGGTAAAAGAGAGAGAAGACTAGCTGTGAAGTGTAATTATTTTTTGCATACAGACAAATAGTTATCAAGTCTATGATAGAGATAATGTTTGCTGGCAAGAGTAAATTGTGTTCTCTGAATTTTTGCTGAGAATTAGTTGAACGTCAACAGATCAAGACTAATGAGACCTCTATGACAGGTGGTCGGAGCGCTCAATTCCTCTTTATTTCATATTATCGAACTAATAGGCGTTGAGCTAGACCAGTCTTAGAAGGAGAATTTCATTTACTAAAATATTCTTGCATTGTTACCCCCAAAGAGGTTCACGACACTCCATATTTTTTTTTATCAAAGAGATCTATGTCAATATTATCGGAATATACACACTGCAGATAAAATCGTATAAATTGTATTATTTATTCCTCTAATGATGAGCGTCTTTGGCGCGATAGCATAAAAATTCAAATTTTCAGAATAAAATCACAAAATAAGGACTGTTTTTTCAAGTGAGTTCTGGGAATCTAACGTCGCCAAACAGATATCGAACAGACACCTATAGCATTGTCTGCGTACACATACATACTGTAGATAAAATCTTACAAACTGTACTATTTATTCCAGCACTTGAACTAGTGATAGGGAGTGAAGTAGTCAAGCGTGTTGACCGCTTCACTTATCTGGGGAGTCTCATCAGCGCTGATAGCCTGATGACTGACGAAATCTCAGCACGGATACAGGAAAGCTCGATTGGCTTTTGCCAATCTGCGTCACTTATGGCACAGGCGTCATATCCGTTTGCTGACTAAAGGACGGGTGTACTGCGCAGCAGTCCCCTCCGTCCTCTTATATGGCTGTGAAACATGGCCGTTAAGAGTAGAAGATGTTCGTAGGTTACTAGTATTCGATCATAAATGTCTTAGAAGCATTGGCTGTGTATCTAGGGACGAATGCAGTAAGCAATGCTATCGTTAGGAAACGAGTACTAGGTAACGGATGGCAAATCAATAGATGAAGTAGTGAAACTTCATCAGTTGAGGTGGTTGGGACATGTGTTACGTATGCCCTAACCACCGACTGTCTCGACGAGCTATGTTTTGTGGTGTACGAGTAGGTTGGAAGAAAGCTAGGGGCGGCCAAACCAAATCATGGCAGAAATCCATGAAGCCACTGACAAGTGGATCTAGTCATGTTGTGAGAGATGTAGACTACCTGGTTGGGGTCCACGAGACGAAAGTCACCAATGGTTAGATACCTTGAACAACGACATGACTCAAAATCGTTTGCAATGGCGCAAGTGCATCCATTCATTGAGCTCTCTCAAATCCTAATCTTCTGTATTCGTCAACACCTCTACCTTTGTCTTTGTAACTTTATCTCACTGAATTATACTTCTTGAATAATATCTTCAAACCCTAGTCTTCTTCATTACTATTAATACCTCTACTATCTCTATCACTATGGGATTTGATTTGACATTTGCGTCTGTGTTAATGTGTTGTGGCAACCTGAACTTATGTACATACGTACGAGGTTCTACGTAGCAACTGACTGACTGACTATTTATTCCTCTAATGCTTTACTTTAATTCAGTTTCATTATAATAATCAACCATACATACATTGCTTGAATTTATGAGAGAGAGGTAAAAAAAAAAAAAGAACCCAACAATATAACAACATTAAAAATATGAAAAAAAAATACATACTTGTGTTTGTATAGGATTAAATACTTTAATCCGATCTGTGTATAACGCCTCAAATTCTTTATTTCTTAATGCAGTCACTGGTAATGGTTGTAAATCTAACAATTCCGTAGGTGGTATAGTTTTCTCTGGTAGAATTAAATGTCGAAATGATACTGGTAAAGTAACTTCACCACCGATCCAACGATCCGACACAGCAGTAATGTAATAATGCGGTGGCAAAGGATCAAATATAGGCAGGACAAAACGTAAAATATGCTCTTCTGTTGCATAACGTTGTTTCAATACAAAAAATTCATGATGCAATACACTATTACCATCCACATCTTCAACAAATATCCAAAATGCTTGATTGGTCGAGTGGACTTTTTCATCCCATATAAAATCCGGTGTCAGTGTTAATTCAACACGTAATGCTGATCTAGTGATCGGTTGTACATGGACACTCATTTCTAGACGTGGCAATTGATGCAAATACTTATGCAATGGTCGACCTAATTTAGGCAAACGTACTAATTCACCTAATTCATGATGATTCATATCGTATAAACGATCGAATGGTATTGATTTTTTCTCTAATTTCCTGATCACTTCATCAGGTAATTTTTTAAATTGACGCAATGGACACATAGATTCCCACATACGACGTTCAATCATTTTAGCTAAAGTCAACGCATTGTCAGCTAATTCAGCCCAACCACGATGTAGAACAATTTCAAAGATTGCACGTACAAGACGACCAGCTGATTGAGTAATATAAACCATATCGGACATTAAAGAGAATCCTTCTAATTTCAATCCGGATATATATGCTTGTAATAAACAATTAATTTTAGCTGATGGTTCTTCTGGCGATTCTTTTATTGGTATTGGTACACGTTCAAGGAGTTTAGCTAATTCAAAACGTTCTTCTTGACGTACAGACATATGTTTAAATTCTGAGCTAGCAGCAAATACGCGGAATAATTCAATTTCACCTAAACCTGGACGTAATAATTTATTATATGATAGTACAGTTGTATGTGTTAAATAATAATGAGATGCAATTCGACCAAGCTCGGTGGATTGTAAACAACCAGAACGTCGATCATAACGAATTAATTGTGAACGTTCCAGCTCGATAGCTGCTGTATGCACTAAATCACGACGATATTGTTCAAGCCATGGATCATCTTTTTCACTACCTTGTGGTACACCATATAGACTAGGATTACGAAGCATACGAATGTATAGGTAAGTATAACCTAACCATGTAACTGCTTCACGTATAGTTGTCACTGTGCCTAAAACAATTTCAGCATTCAACAGATCAGCTAGACGTGATACAAATTGACTTTCAATTGGAAGTTGTTGATTCATTAAACTTAAATAATATTGTAATTCTGTATGATTGGTAATCAGGATACCTTCACCTTTTGTATCATATTGTGGTCGACCAGCACGACCAAGCATTTGCATAACATCTAATGCGCCCAATTCTGTCCAACGACCTTTTTCTGGACTATAAACCTATAACAATTAATATACATACACATTGATAAATTACATGTTGATCAAATATATATATATATATATATATATATATATATATATTTCAGAAAATTATCTACATTTTAAGAGTATGCACATATCACTTGACAAAAAATTAAAATTTCTTCAATAAGAGTTATGGAGATTAGTGATTTTACACATTTTTGAAATCATCAATCAATTATTGTTAGACCACCCCATTAGAAACCTGGAAGCACTGAAAGACGGCCGTTTCGTCCCGGTATGGGACTCATCAGTGACAGTGCGCATCCATGACTCTTGCACCCTGCAGGATTCGAACCCAGAACCTTCAGTCTTGCGCGTGAACGCACACCAGGATACAGAAGGCTCGATTGGTTTTTGCCAAACTTCGTCACTTATGGCGTACGCGAGATATCCGTTTGCTGACTAAAGGACGAGCGTACTGTGCAGTAGTTCGCTCTGTCTTACTTTATGGCTGTGAAACATCGCCATTGAGAGCAGAAGATATTCGTGGGTTACTGGTTTTCGATCATAGGTGTCTTCGAAGCATTGCTCGAATATCGTGGGACACCCAAGTGAGCAACGCTGTTTTAAGGAATCGGGTGCTAAGTTAGAATGGCAGATCAATAGATGAAGTAATGAAACTTCATCAGTTGAGGTGGTTAGGACATGTGTTACGTATGCCAAACCACCGACCGCTTCAACGAGCTTTGTTTTGTAGTGCAGGAGGAGTAGGTTGGAAGGAAGTTAGGGGCGGTCAAACCAAAACATGGCAGAAATCCATGAAGTCGTTGACGAGTGGACTGAGCCATGTCGGCAGTTGCCGACTACCTGACTGGGGTCCACGAGATGATAATAATCGATGGTTAGAGACCCTGAATGACATGGCTCAAAACCGTTTGCAATGGCGCAGGTGCATTTATTCTTTGTGTTCTCTCAAATCCTAATCTTCTGGATTCTTCAACACCTCTAGTTTTGTCTTTCCTAACTTTTCTCACTGAATCATACTTCTTGAATAATACCTTCTAATTACTAACCTCTCCGATTACTGCTAATACCCTTACTACCTCTTCTACTTTTGGATTTGAATTGACAATTATATCTCTGTGCTGATAAGGTATGGCAACATGAACTGATGTACTTACGTACAAAGTTCTACGTTGCATTTGACTGACTGATTATCACTATGATCGTTCGAAAATCATGATATTTAAATATGTTCAAGCGATTAGTAGGTATTTGAAGTTACTACATAAAATATTTATTAATACAGAAATCTAGTGGTCTAAAATCATAATCATGTAAGAATACTTTTAAAAACACAGATGCAGAAGGGTCGGCTGGCTTTTGCCAACTTGCGTTACTAGCAGCGTAGGTGAGACATCCATCTGCTAATCAAAGGACGAGATTACTGAGCAGCAGTTCGCTCCGTCCTACCTTACGCGTGTGAAACATAGCCACTAAGAAGTGACGATATTTGTACGTTACAAGTATTAGATAAAATGTGTCTACGAAACATTGCTCGCATATCCTGGGACCGCTAAGTAGGCAATGTTGGCGTTAGGAAAAGAACACTAGGTAAATATAGTAGATCGATCGATGAAGTAGACAGTCTTCATCATTTGAGGTGATTTGGACGCATTACGTATACCTAGCTACCGGCTATCTTAACGAGAGATGCTGTCTGATATAGGGGAGGTCAAACCAAAACATGGAACCAGCCTTTGAAGTCACTGACAACTGGACTAAGCCTTGTTGACAGGTGTAGGCTACCTGGTTGGGGTCCACGCGACAATCGTAACCAATGGTCAGAGACTTTGAATGACATGGCTCAAAATCATTTACAATGGCACAAGTGCATCCATTCTTGAACTTCTCTCAAATTCACATCACCTGAACTCCTCATCGCCTTTTTATTTCTCTCTCTGTTTCTATATTTATTTTTCTGGTATATATATATATGTATATATATATATATATATATATATATATATATCGAATGATATCTTTGATCACTATTCATTTCGATTACCGCTAATACTACTGTGGTGCGAGCTACTTATAGGTAGTATATGACGTGAGTGTCAACGTAATGTCTGGCAGCAGAAGATGGGGGAAGATCAAGAAAGGAAGAGTGGGGACACAATCGAATTTGTATGAAACGCATGAATAGTAGTGACAATGGATTGATGTTTTGCAACAGGAACAGTCCAGTTTGATATGATGAATTGATATTTTGCAAATGAACGATTTACGATATGGTTTTCCTATTTTACTGAGTGAAACTCTGTAATTTTCGTTAAATACAATTCGGTTGCCCTC